ATATATATATATATATACACACACATATACATTTTTTTTTCTAGCTTTCTACTTTAATGGTAGAATCCTGCCAAAAATTTAAATATGGGAAATGATGTAAAGCCAAGTTAAAGTAATTAGATATGCAGTCAGACATTGGATTAACAAGCTATATAGCCCTACCAGCTATAGCCTGGTGCCAGCCACTATGGTGGACATCTACTACCATGTGCTCAATCTTAATACAGTTTGTAATTGAGGGGATTTTTTTCTTCACCCTTTTCTTGATTATTGCAGGATTATCAGTAACACTGTGCAAGGACACTGTGCTAAATTTTGCGTTGGGTTAAGGGATATATTTTATGATATTTTAAAGATTTGTGGTATGTGTTTTAAGCGAATTATGTTCAAATAAAATTCATGTGATTTTATATGATATTTGTTGTATGTACATTGGACACCTTTAAAGTCCAATTAAATTGGGTCTGATACATTGGCCTCAATTTTGGGTCAATTATTAGAGGATGTGGTGTCCCGTCACATGAATCCTTATGTTGCAATGGATAGATAGAAAAATACTAGGAGTACTCTGCAGGGCCAATGTGACGAGCAAGCAACCCCCTGTGTTTTGAGAGCAGAGGAAGCCACTCAGCTCCGCGCCATACAAGACCTTCAAGATCGCTGTCAAGCATTGTAGTTGTTCCGGCTACTGCAGTGCTTTACAGGATCCCTGTGGCCCTACCAAGCTGGATGTAAGTATGCATGATACTTTATACCTGAAGTTCAGCTTTAACTAAAATTATTCACAGCTGAAAATGTGTTTCTTTCATAAAAGATAAATATCTGCTTATTACAAGGAGTATGCAAAGGGTACGGCTTAGACTGGCTTTGTGACAAGTAAGTATTTCCACTGTTGCAGCCAAATTGGAATAACACCTATCTGATATTTGTTACATGTTCCAATTCACATAGAATAAGCTAAAACATATTTTTAAATGCTTCTTGCAGTTTAAATTGCTTTCACTTTAGAGTTTAGGGGTTAGAGCTTCTACGCATCTTAAGGGTTAAAATTTCGACATGCGTCTCCTTCTTTGTAATGTTAGGAGGGATTGTGATGGGTTAAAGGATTAAAAGCCTGACTTCTCAATTGTATGATAATGAAGTTAATGACAGAACCACAATCCTCAAATTTCAGTCCTAATTCCTTCTATAAGGACAGATCACTGTGAAGGTGCTCAGAAAAACCTGGAATCAGCCATGTTGCCTGCTGCAACAAAACATCTAAAAAAGGTGAGAAATATTTTTAGATATGCTGTGTGAATAAAAACACAAATATAAATATATGGACTTTTTTTTCTCAAATTTGACTGCAAAAGTGGAGATACACTTTAAAGCTACAGTAAATTATGAAAATACTGCCTTAATTTATGATAACTCAACATTGAACTACATTTTGAACATCCTCAGTTTCTTCCTTTACTCCCTTTGCTTCAGATTTTGTTACTGTGCAGCCAATGGTAGTTTTCCATACCAAATTTAAAATGAAAAAAAAAAGATAAAAAGATCTCAGTATAGAAAGGTATTTGGTTAAAGAAAATCACCCAGATAAATATCCATTTGATTTAAGGGACAAAACTTCCTGTGTTTATTAATATTATAATAAATATCTAAAAAGCAGTTGTAATGACATGGACAGTATGATTAACACTCAAACAATGCAGAGGGCAGCTAAGATAGTAGCGATTTGGAAAAGGCTGGTGCTTTGTTTAAACAGGTAACCTACATGTGTAGAAAATTAGCCTTGACCTGTAGTGTGCCCCCTATATTGTCCCCATACTGTTACACAATAGAAAAAAAAGAGTCATCACACAAGAATTAGAAAAGCATGGATAACAGTGCTGACAGACACAGGGGACAGGAAGCAGACAGCTAGTTATAAAAAGGGTCCAAATTCCCTGATGATTTCGTACAGCAATTTCAAAAATGTCCTTTCAGCCTAAAAATAAACTACACAAAACTGAAAAACAAACCTGAAATTGTGTATAGACAATCGTTCTTCTTCCTGAAAGGTAAAGACAAAAGAAAGTGGCAAATGTATTTATTTGCAATAGGTAATGACAAACACAGGAAAAGGCTCGCTTTAACCTACAAACAGCTCATTCTGGAGAAATTTGCCAGACCAAAGCAACAGCAGTTGCCTACAAAACACAGTGCACTCTTCACAGTGATCAACTAGAAAACTAAATCATGGCCAGAAGATCTACAGATTTTAACCACTTGAAGACCAGGTGTTTAGACCCCCTTCCTGGCCAGGCCATTTTTCAGTATTCAGCGCTGCAGTACTTTGACTGACATTTATTCCGTCATGCAGCGCTGTACTGAAATGAATTTTATACCATTTTTTTGGGACAGATAGAGCTTTCTTTTGGTGGTATTTAATCACCACTGGGATTTTTATTTTTTACTATATTAGGGAAACAATACCGAAAATTTAGGAAAAAAAAGACTCACCCTTTAACCCGTTTCTGCCAATAACCTGTGAATAAACATGCCCCCAATACGATGCACCATGCAAGGGATACGTTTATACTTGATACTCAATCCTGGCTGTCAGTGGCAGCTTGCAGCCTTCCTGGCAATCTGAACCACTTAAGAGTGGTTTCTGATTATGTGATTTCTATTTTCATTAAAGTAATGTACACTTATATGTCATTAGACATATAAATCAATAATTTAGTTAATAAATAAATTCGTTTTTGTCAAGTTACCCAATGCATACTAATGCTGCTAAATTTGGCCAGAGCATTTAGGTATCAAATACCTTTGGTTATTAAAGGGTTAAGAAGTGTTTAGGATAGAGATTGCCTATGAGTATAGTGTCTCCAGACAGTTCCAGCTTCACCACCAAGGGAATCCTGTAAAGAAATCTAAATAGGGTTACCAATCCCCACTTGTTCGCACAAAAAGATGGGAAAGCCATGATCTTGTATACCCCAAGCGACCTACAGTGCTTTATCAAACGACTGAGCAGGCTTCCATGGCAGGATCCCTGGCAAGAAGTCACCCCAGTTGCTTAACGTAGAGTAGATCACGCCTATACATTCTAGAAAACCAGAGCTACCAGCTCTACATCCCATCGGACCTAGCACCAAGTAACCCTCCTCTTAACTGTTCACCATGCGCAGTTTGTTTTTGCAGTAGCTCCAGCTACAAGTCATCCATTGCAGTTTTCCTTATTTACCTGCTCACATCTCTTATTTTTGAAAGGTTTGGCTTATTGTTAGGCTACCTCCTACCCTCTCAAGTGCTGGAATTGCTCCTAAATGATGGCAGCACTTCTCACACGCCATAACTTGGTTCCACAGCCCAGTCACTAATCGGACATACCTGGGGCACAGTTTGCAGCCACTGGGTCCGCTGACTATTTTTTTCTTTTTTATTCTAATGCACAAATGCGGATTACTACTTTACTGTCAATTTTCATGGACCCTCTGGCGAGAATGTGCTTAATCTTCCTGGATTCTGCACCTCTTCCGTTTATGATGTTCAATGATTATGAGACCTACTTTATTTGTCTGGTAGCCCTGCATCTGAACCCAGGTCTTGACTGTGGACGTTGGACCTTGAAACTCCTGTGTGGCCACATTATGCAAATATGACCATATTTGGGTGAAGATGTCAGCCAGCAGCCCGGCTCCTTTGTTTACATTCAACTGCCGGCTGGGGACTCTCCTGCTGGCAACTCAATAGGGCCAGGGATGCATATATATCTATCTATCTATCTATCTATCTATCTATCTATCTATCTATCTATCTATCTATCTATCTATCTATATATATAACCCCGTAAAACCCACAGACACATACAAACTGAATTCTTCTCTGACCCTCTACAATAAATCCTGCAGTCGCTGGACGCTTGTACATGGCATCTTCATTCTTGGCTTTAGGAAAAGTGCCCAAACCCTTTTTCATCAAAAACGTATAGCTTCACAACTATCTATGGAGTCAAAAGATATTCCAATGGTCTCAATCTGAGCCCTCCCGAATTTACCACGCCCTTACTTCTAAGGGCCTCCGATCCTTTTAAGACTTCATGGCAAACCAATATGCCCTGCCCAGGAATTACTTCTGCTACTTTCAGCTTTGAGACTTCTATAACTCAGAAGTTATCTCCTCTACATCAGTCATGATCCCCTCTACATCAGTCATGATCCCCTTCAAACATCTGTCAACAAACGTCTGGTCCAACACATGCTATCTTGTTACTCTATGACCTATTTTTAAATAAAAAACATACCTCTCATGTGTAAAACATAGGTGCATGGGAACATGAAATGGAAGTCTAACTCACCGAAGAAGAAATCATGAAGCCTCCTGCACTACTCAAACTATGCAGGCCCAGAAAAAGGGCTAGAAAATGTTTACCCAAAAAGACCTCATGTCCTGCCCAGGGTCTTCCCAGTTACTCCCCCTAATTGCTGACGCTGTTGTGCTTAGATGGGTAAAATGCTGCTATAGTGTAGAGTTGCCCATGCATCAAACTGCTATGCAATGCGATTTCAACATTTATCATTAAGCTACGGGTCTGGAAAAAAAAAATCTATATCACCAAGATAGCATTGTGGGCCATTTCCCCTGGACTTCATCCTCTTATGCCCAAAACTTTACTTCATTTCTTTATCTCCTCAATGCAATTTAATGCATTATGGAGCCCTTGGATTCTTTTTATGGACACACCCACATAGAAGTCCTTTCCTTCCCATAATCAGATTGGGTCCAAGATTCAGACTCATTTTTGCACTTAGTGACCACCTTCTGATGGTTTTTAATATCCCCAACACCTACTGCATCTGTAAATAGGACCAGCCTACTGAAATGTGCATGCCTCTCTCTTCTCATGCTGTCTCGCTTTCTCTCCCCCTCTTCTTCATTTGGTTTTTTTTTCCTTCCTCTCTGCCACGATCAACGTCAGTAGCAGGCCACCCGCTTTGTTTATTATCTCCCGCTTAACTGGCCAGTATGTATACTTGGTAACGATTATCTCAAGTATCACCTCCAATGGCTGAATGCCCATCTGTATATCCCTTCCATTCATTTTAGGTGTTCATCTGTATATTTTTTACATTGCCTGCTGTGCGTTATGTATGTACAGATGTTTATCAAGGTTGCCTACTGTACTGTTTTACATCCGTCTCCTGATAATAAACTTTATTTTATTTTTAAAAGGCGTACATTTTATTTGAACGTGAAAATACATTGACTTATTCAATTATTTAAAACATGCAAATCATAAATCAATCATAAAGATTAGATAAATGTACATATTCTGAAAAAATATTAACATGGACCCTGGCTGGTTTAATTGAACAATGTTCTTACCGATTTGAGTATAGACTCCAACACTCTGTAATGTAAACGTACCCCAACTCTGTATCGCTGTTGAAAACAGAGGCCAGTTAATAAACAATTCTGTAGTCCAAAAACATTGCAAATAATAAAATATACAGTGTGTTCAGGTGCCATTAAGAGTTGCACTGCAAGACATACAGTTCAACCCCTTAGTAACCGAGGCCTTTTTTTTTGTTTTTTGTACCCGTGTTATAATCCACATTTTAGGCCTGAAAATTACTTCAACACCCCTCCCCATACATACATACACACACACACACACTATATATATTTTTGGAAAGCCAAGACAATGTATAAAATAATGGTAGTTGCACATTTTTTATGTTGCACGATATTAGCGCAATGTATTATTAAACCCCAAAATGTACGAAACATGCCCTTAAATCCCTCAAAACACAATACCCATTTTTTAAAATAAAATATAAAAGATGAGGTTACAACGTGTAAATAGACACCCCACGTGTAAACATGCCCAGGTTAAAAATTGTGTACGTCCGTGAAACTGCAACAAAATTCAGTACCCCAAAAAGTCCATAGATGACTATTTAAAAGCCCCCACAGGTCATCAGTTTAGAGATACACATAAATATTGGCCTTAGAATTATTGCTCTCATGCCAGCGCGCACGGCGATACCCAACATGTGTAGAGTGATTGTCGTTTTAATACGTAGGCGCACCCGACGCGTGTTTACGTGACGACGCACGTGCTCGCAGGGAACGTTAAACATTTGTACTTATTTTTATATTTAATATTAATTTTAAAAACTGTTTTTTGTTTACTTTAATTGCTATCACATAGGGGGGCTTACAATCCCCCCATGTGATAGCAGATTGGCAGTGACAAGTACTCTTTAAGGTGATGCTGGGGGTCCAAAAGTCCCCCAGTATCACCTTTACACTTTAAATAAGCTATTGAAGTGCAAATCGCAATTCAATAGCGTATTGGTTGGCTTCAGGAGCCCAGCACTGACAGCTATGGGACCAAAAGGGACGTAATCTGCATCGCTCCTGGTTCCATAGTACGAGGAGGGGGATCGGTGAAACGGAGGTTCGCCCATCTCCTCCCCAGCTTCCCCCTGACACCAGAGAAGCCAGTCCCGGGCCTGTAGGAGGGGCAGGGGAGCCGGGAAACTAGGCGGGGGTGTCGGGCAGGGGGGTGGCCAGTTTACAATTGGCTTTAGAATGGTAAATGTTTTAACGGGTCCGGTGCCAGTGACGTACTATGGACATCACCGGTCACTAAGGCGTTAATATTAAGCTATTGTGCAGTTGTCTGGACCTGTCGGGGGCCAAACCGATAGGTTGAGAGCATTTGCTTCCAACCAATCAGGATGCAGAAGAATACAAGGTACAAACTGCTAAGTGCAGTGTGTGGAAGAGGATGTCAGAAATACGGCCAGACATGGAATAGGAAGTAAGCAGAGAGGGTAGTATTAGGACTGAATTGAAAGTCAGATAAAAGCAGTTTGGGGCAGAAATGTTGCTACACTAAAAATGAGTCTGCACTGGAAATTGCACTGTGGCTCGCACAGCACTTCTTGTTTCTGCTAGGAGAGGGAAGCATGTGCTGAGAGAGGCAGAGCGGGAGAGAGAAGATGGGTCAGAAGAGGAGAGAGAGACACCAACGTCCCAAACCTTGAGATAAAAGCTGCATTTGTAGCCAACTTAAAGATTTTCCCTGACCAGCACTAAGCTAATGAACACACATTCAAAGCCTTATAGTATGCTATAATAACAAAGATGCAATACTGTGCAGGCATATATACCAATATGATATTTTAAAAAACAAACAGCATATACATAGATTGAGTGGTATCATTGATATACAAATGTAACATTACCTGGTATCCTATTTCTGCACATGCTTGGCCAATTGAAGCCGCAAAACGAGCTTTGAAGACCTGTCCTAAGCGCTCTACTCTCTCTGTGATCTCGTTCTTTGGATTTATTGTGCAGTTCTGCAAAGATCAGAATGTTAAAACTAGCAACAAAATACTTTTAAATACATTTGCAGAGTTTTCAGTATGGTTTATCCATCCTTCCCCATAAAAACAGCAGAAATTATGTTAGATACACTTGCATGCAATTTGTGGAGTTACTCTCTTGGTAGCTTCTTCCAGGCATCCAAAAGAACGTGCCACAGTTCCACTGTAGACTTTGGCCATCTTAGTTGCTACTGTCTCTGCAAGTTACCGACTGGCTCAGTAACGTTAGGTGAAGGCTCTGTGAGGGTAACACCATTTTTGCAAGATTCCCTGTTCTACTTCATAATGCAGATATTGCTTATGATTTTGGCTGTGTGTTTGGAGTCCTCATGCCGCAGAATAAAGTTGGGACTGGTGAGATTCCTTCTAGATTTTATTACATGATGGAAAGGAATGTGCAAGTATTTCTTGGCCATTGAAGGTGCCACATTAGGTTGACTACTAATAATTCTCTGGACTGTGTATAGGTGTTCCAGCATACCAGTGCTTTCTACTAGTTTCAAGCTGTGCAAATTAAGCTTCATTATCTTTTGCATTGTTGACTACTGACATTAATCGCCTAATTAAATTAGCCCCCCCAAGGCTAAAACATTTATCCTTATTTTTTTTTCCTGCAGCGCTTGCAGGAATAAAAGCAATGCAATTTGTAGATCAAGATGCTTATGTGCATTTGTGGGGGCCTGCATATGTGCACCTATGAGGGTTAAAGTTGGGTGGGTGCTGGTCTGACGTGCAATGGTTGTGGTCTGAAGTCTGCCGTGCATTGGCTCTGGTCTGAAGTCTGCCGTGCAATGGCTCTGGTCTGAAGTCTGCCGTGCAATGGCTCTGGTCTGAGGTCTGCTGAAATTAACATCCTACAGGCCGGGCATAGCACAGCTAAACCATGAAATGCAGGCACGGGGATCACACTAGAACTGTAAGTCCAGTTTACTTTGCAGCACAAGTAAATATGAACATGTTTTGTGGGTGTGTGCACCAGTTATTCAGTTTTTCACTTGTACTGCTAATGGCAATGTCAACAAATTAAAATAATAAGTGACTAACTTTCTATTAGCACTACAACTAGGAGTGTAACAATCCTTGTAATGTACACAGATCACCCAGAGAGGAGCGTTTTCACAACAAAAGTGGAATTACTCTTTAAGCATAGCAAAATATTAAAACAATCTTTATGCTTTGAATAGATCTTACAAACTTGCCTTAAAATACAAGTTAAGACATTCAGAGGGCTCATCACTGGCTGAATTTAAGGTGACCATCAGTTGGTTGATTGTGTTCATTGCAGCTCTGTCAAAAAGAGAAAAAAAAATGAAAAACGAGCACACTTTGTACATTAACCTTGTGAAGCTTATACAGAATTTTCTGCTTTAACAGGGAATAGGATTTTGTGCTCGTCATAAAATCCTTTTCTTGGTGTCCACTGGGTATCTACATTTAAAAACTAAAAATAAATGTGTTTCTTTATTGAATTTCTATACATTCTATCCCACTCCTAATAACCATATCAATCTAGACGTTTGTAAACCTACTGAAGATGCCCATAGATTGTACAGTAAATTCCAAATTATCCAGCATTCAAGCAATCAGCACAAATAAAAAAATTTTAAAAAATCAAGGACATAATCTGTCCTCGATTTTTTTCTGCTGCTGCTTGATAGAAATTAAAAACTACATTTATTTACTTGCTAACAAAGTGTTTTGTTTACGTTTTGCTGCCGGCCAGCAACTGGATTCCGCGGTTGGCAGCAGAATGTAAACAATGGGTTTCAATAGCCATACTGCTATTGGCTATTTCAAACCGAAACAGCCAATAGGCTGGCTATTGAAACCCCGCCCACCGAGCAAAGGAGCAGACCTGAGAGAACTTTCTCTCTTAGGTCTGCTCCTTTGCTCAGTGGGCAAGGCTTCAATAGCCAGTCTGCTATTGGCTATTGCAATTTGAACTACGCAATAGCAGTCTGGCTATTGCTCCAGGCTGCTGACATTTACCTGTTGGCTGCAGAAGCTAGCCGGCAGGTAAATGGGGTGCTGCAGGGTGGTTGTTGAATAGTAAATCTCAAGCAACCAGAAACTACAGTTATCTGGCACCTACCAATCCCCATGGATTCTGGATAACTGGGAGTTTAATGTACTTCCTAGATGCACTGATATTCCACTCAGCCCTGTAAAAATGCACTCCCACAGCCACTGGACATGCAAGTCTGCACTACTATCTAACTTATTATATTACCTTTTGTATAATCCCTCTATGGTATTAAAGCAATTTTGGTATGAAGTATGGATGGTATATAAACAGAGCCCTCTGACATTAAAAAATATACACACCATCTTACACTGCATTTTAAATCCAATGCGCATATAAGGGGCAGCTCTATTTTCAGCACAACCAAAAGAAGCATAAGTTTGGAGTGTGGCTTGAGTTCAGCAAGAGTTCTGAGATCATAACCTATTAACATAAAACCATTGAACTAACAGGTGAATAGTAATAGAATCTGTCCGTCTTAGCAAGCTAGTAAATTGGATACTACTAGCAATAATTTAGAGTGTACTTGATCATGTTCTCCAACCAAATATAGTGTTAGAAGATTTACACTTCTACAAATGACAGTTCTCTGGGTTCAGAAATATTTTAATGAAGCCACGGAATATTAGTTTTGCTTTTCATAGTCCATGAACACACCTCAATCACAAATCACTCCAGTCATTGTGACAATTCTCTGACAGAACTAAGGCACACCTAGCTACAAGGGTCAGTTTATGCACAAACAACTGCTTTTATTTTCGTTTCATGGACTTCCTACGTCATTTGAAGAAGTAAAGGCAGTATCTCAAATACAGAAAAGTACATGACCTTCAAGTATATCAATACCAATCCCATGAACAGTTTTTATTTGTGTTGGATGATGAAAAGTATCACAGCATTAGGCCTGTTTCACACCTAGGCGTATTGCATATGCGTGTCTGTCGCGCGTTTTTTTTAACCGCGATTCGCTACTTGGCTGTATCCCAATGGAAACACGCAACAAAAACCGCCCAAAGTAGTACATGTACCTTTTCAGGCGTGGGCCGTTTTGTAGCGCGTTAGGGACGGGCTGAAATACGCCAAGGTGTGAACCAGACCCATTGAATACAATAGGATTTAGATGTTTGAGTGTTTTGTAGAGCGTTCGTCGAGCGTTGAACGCGCTACAAAACGTTCAGGTGTGAACGAGGCCTTAATAAAATATTAGAAAACGAACCACCAATGATTCCATCATTTCCCCACCAATCTTCACCCTCCAATATTGCCTCAATAGAAACTAACCAGGGATACTGAATGTGATTTATTTATATTATCATTATTATTTGCTGCTTTATGAATACATCAGCCTCTAGCCAGAAGAGCCATGACTGCGGTAATATAAAGGCTGGAGAAGGTAATGCAACTCCAGCATAAGAAAGAACAGAGTGCCCCCACTACATTATAAATGTGAATTTTACCCTAGCTAAAGCCTTGGAAGTTAAGTAGAATAAAATATATAAAGTACATCTACGTATGCATGACTTAGTAAAGAAGTCTTAAACTCCCACACTTTTTTTTTTTCAATAATTAATCAAGATCAAAGATACTTTTCATGTGCACATATTTGTTAGCAATATAGTTGCACTGACATTATTACTATTATTCTTTTGGCAGACCTTTGTCGTATTTGGTACACAGCTATTGGGGAAATTGCTTATACCTTGGACACAGGGATATGTAATACAACTGATTAAATCCAGGTATTGGGGTAGTGGTGAAGATACCCTATATGTGTATTCTTGTTAGTAGCATGGCTGCTCAGACAGTCATTTCCTCAGCAGATTTTTGATGTGGTTAGAGCCTAGCTCTTTCTCCTTTCCCTTTTACCCATGTCTGAGAGTCTGTTGCCATCAGTGGTCGATTGGAGGTGTAACTTGTGTCCTCTGAGGAGGTAGATGGTTTTGTAGATCATTAACCCCTTCATGACTGAGGCCCTTTTTTCAATTTTTGCACCCATGTTATATTCCACATTTAATTTGATGAGAACCATAAATTCTTATTTGTTGTCTCTATCCTGACAGCCTACTATATAAAGCGATTTTAAACTCATCTGAGAGCCTCCTGAAGAAACAATCGACTGAGTATAATGCAGACTGGAATGTACTGTAAACAATGTGAATAAGTTAGCGAGGCGAGACAGTTTCTCGGCTCTTTGGCGTTTGATGTGCTGTTTTTAATGCAACTCTGTAATGATAATTTTGCAGCTTTTGTATTTATTAAAGAATTGATTTTTAATGAATAAAGTTGTACGGGTAACATTAAAGTCCGCCAGGGTTCTAGAGAACCTGTTCTTCTAGTTTAATCTTTAGTAAATATTCAGAAGTGGTACTTTCCCCCTTATTATTGATGCAGACTACACCAGAACAAAATATACATTGCCCAGAAAAGTATTTTACACTTTTGCCCAAACACTTACATTGATCACTTTTCCAAACCGCTGGCTCCAACTCTCTCAGCTCAGCTTTCCTGAGCTTCCTTCCAGTACAAGATCACAAGAGACAAAGCCTTCTATAGCAGCTGTCCATCTGCTAGCTTGGTGAAAGGAAGAGGGACAAGCTGGCAGCAAGGGAGTGGCTTGCCTTGCCATATCTGCATGTTTGTAGAGAAACACACAGATTATTGCAAGCAAAAGGAGCCACCCATAAACAGATTTCCAGGGCCAGTGCTCAGGAGACCAGCTGATATTATAGGAAACTAAAACTTTTAGATATCAAGGAGCAGAATCTATTGCAAGTGATTTAACGTAGTACCATTCTAACTTTAATATCACTTTAAAAATGAACTTCAACCATTTCTATTTCATAGCCTGAGCTCTGCTGAACATTAAGTAGTTGATACCAGGCCCTACTAAGGCCCTTACACTGGTTGCTTTTAAAAAAAAAAAAAATTATATATATACACACACATTAATTTGTGTCTTTCACATCTGCCTGGAGTTAGCTTTAACCGGTGGGGTGTTTGTTTCAGGATGGTTATTGACTAGTTAGTAAAGCCCATAATCAGGATGACATTCTAGGAGCCTGCACCTTTAACAAGGTATTATTGGAAATTTCCATTTGTCTGCTCTCACAGGTCCAAATTACAGAACGTATCCTCTTAAAGTGGACCATCACTCAAAAGTTGCACTTTCCACAGGAAAAAGTGCACATATGCACGTCAAGGCTCCATTTCCTAGTTTGGGTAGCCATATTCATCGTGGCCCCCAATGATCGTTTGGAGTGCGGATGTCCCTGTAAGAACAAACAGGCGGCATCACACTTGCCCAAAATCATAAGGAGCAGTCTAGGTACATGACGGAGGTAAGATCGCGGGAACAGGGCTGAAGGCCCAGGCTTTGCTAAAGAACAACTTCACCTAGGGTGACGTGAAAGGCATTATAAGGTCACCCCCCTCACTTACTATTATATTGACTGCTAGGTAATTTGTTAATCGTTGTACACACGGTTTAGGCAGATTTTCTGTGAATTGTGAAGATAAGAATGTCTCGTCAATGAAAATACAAGATGTTCTGAAAGTTATCAGGGCTTTTAGTGTTTGTTCTTTAATAAACCTCAGCTGAAGCAGTTATAGCTCTGAGTTTTTGAGGTTACAAAAGATGGTTGAGATTTTTCAACAAAATTACAGGTGAAGCTTTAAAACAGGTCATAAATATTTTATGTCTGCAAAACTGTGGGGTCTATTCACAAAGCTGCCGAGGGCAGCCGAGTGAATGACCGATCAGAAGTGAAGTGAGCCGAACACTGTTCGGCTATTCACTTCAGGCTGGTACGGCTGATTTCAGCCGTACATCGGCTGAAATCAGCCGTAACGGGCTATTGTGAATAGCCTGTACAGCACCCCCTCGGTTCTCCTGAACCGAAGGGGTCCTGGGGACGAAGCCAGCCGAAGGATCGGCCGAAGCTACGGCCAGATCCTTCCGCAGCTTTGTGAATAGACCCCTGTGTCTTTATAGCTGCCATTTTTTAGGATTTTGGCCCAGTGTTAGTAATTACCTTAAATATATTAATATGGGTCTTATCTGTTCTTATATTGATAAGAGCAACAACTTTCCTGTAAATCAGATCCTGGGAAAAGAAAACAGGAGCCAAGTCCAATCCTGTGATCTTTATGCTAGACTGTTCTATCAGCTTAATAGAAAATATGGTGTTGTGTTAAACTGCTGCTTCAGCCACATTTCAAACATTTGAACAGTGAACCCCAAACTGCAGCCATTTGCTTGTCTTTTTACAGTCCTTGGATCACTATCTCTCCAACTGACACGATGGGGCACTGTTCCCGCCACCAAGGATAAGACCCTAATCCTTACACGAACACAAAACGATAGAGCAGAATTCCTCCCACTGACACCAAGGAGGAGGTGGTATTCCTTCCACTGAAACCAACAATGGGCACAATTCCTTCCACTGACACCAACAACAGGGCATTATTCCTGTCATTGACACAAGCAATGGGGTATTATTCCTTCTCCCACTCATCCCAGCCACGAGTACTTTTTTTTTTTTTTACCCCCACACTGACCTCCAACACTAGATTATTTTTTACTCCCATTCACTACCGAGCCTGAAGCAATACTTACTCCTACTGACCAGTCTGGGCCCCCTAAAGTCTAAAGGACAGTGAAACGACCCTTTGTTTAGAATGTTTGGGGACCCGTGCATTAGAGCACCAGCCGATTCAGGTTTATTGTCAGCCCTCATTTCACACAGCATGCAATTCTATGCATACATAACACTTTATTACATGCATATAATTAATTTACACCGATACCGATGCCTAGCCCGGTACTAGCGATATCAGGAAGTCGGGCAATGAGTCATTACACGCTGCGCGGCTTCCTGATTGGCTGGGAAGCCGGCCTCATGCTCCCTCGTCACTTGGCTTCCCGGCTAATCAGGAAGCCAGGTGGCGAGTCATTACACGCCACCTGGCTTCCTTGATGGGACTTCCGGTATCGGTATTTGGTATCAGCGAGTAACGGAAAAAAAATATCAGTACTCGATACTGAAATACCGGTATTCATGCATCCCTAGTACAATGCACATTTACTTGCTTTCAGTTGGTTCGTTTAGCTGTATTTAGAAAAAATATTAATCTGTGTGTGCAGGAGCAGTTTAGATACTCTGAACTTGTCTAAATCTGTAAAAAGCATGTAGACGCACACAAAATGCATGATCAGTTTGTTTAGGCTGCCTAGATTAATTTTCCTGCAATAAAACAAACGCAGGAGACAAGTGTGAAAAAGGGCTTACACATTCCCTGTGAACTGATTAATTATTCATAGGGCATGCAGTATTGAACGGCTAGAAGTAAATTAATCCACACAGGCACCGGTTTAAAAATCAAAATCAGCACCAAGGGTAGGCATAAGTAGTTACTCCCAAAAATGAATTATGTGTACCCTACATATGTCCTAAACCTAGCCTTTGCTAATATTTCTTTCACAGTAAGGTGCCCATCCAGGAACATTTCCAACGACTTCCCTAAAGTCACTATCTTTAACCAGCTCTGCCCAAAGCAGAAACCTTCAGGAAATGAAGATCCTTGTGTGTGAAATATCAAAAAAGAGTTGCTATGTATTAATAAAATAAAAAGGATTGCAGGCATGCAGAAAGGTAATCAAAGTGACCGTGAATAAGCTCACCTTACTGGTGTCTGAGGAGGTATCACAGAAGCTTCAACAGTACTATTTTTCTTAGGAGTTCTCTCCTGCTCCAAACTAAAAAACAGAAGAAAAAAAAATGATAAACTTGCAAAGTTAGTATCGCAATTATTGCAGGATAAGCTCTTACAGCCATTCCTCTACACTACACACTTTCATATCTACATTTAAATACAATGTATGTAATTTAAACTGTACAATTGTTTGTAATCGACAAAAAAAATTCAGCTTCAGAAAGCAATGATCATGCACATATTAGTCCAATTTAAACATATGACGGGTGACTACTCTCAGCAACCTGTAAGTTCTCAGCTTTAAACCTATCGGACCAATGGAAGATGATTAAGGCCTAGGCGTTTTGTCACGCGTATCTGCGCACACTGAAACGCTCTAGACAAGAAATCCCATTTATTTCTATAGGCCCAAATCCTCCAAACCTCAACCACCCCGTTCACACCCGAGCGATAGGGTCGCATGTAGAAAAATGGTGGCCGTTTGAAGAAATACATTAGCTTCTTTTTGGCACATTACAGCTCGTTTTCTACCCATAGTCTCAATAGGAAACGCTTGGAGAGGTGCAACAACTATTTTTGCACATATCACAATCTGCTTGTAAAAATGTGTCACTTAATGTACACACGAAAATGATATCACCTAGGAGTGAATGCGGCCTAATGTGCACTGCTATAGGTTAGTGCACACTACTGTTTGATTTGGTGTAGAAATGGGAGTATACAAAGTTCTCTTTTTGATTCTATATTTGAAAACTGTCAAAAAGACAATAAAATATGAATGAAACTAAATAAGTAAAAACTAAAATACTTATAAATG